AAAAAAAAAAAAAAAAAAAAAACTAAAAAAAAAGAAAAAACCACACACACACAAAACTATGAGGTAGCTGCAAAAACACAAAAGGATGCCACAAATAGCCCTGTGATTAGCATAAAATGAAGACACTAAAAATAATGTTTTAGAAGTATATTTGACGTAGAAAGGTGCTCATGACAGAAGATTAAAAATGTAAATTACAAAAGAGAATGTTCACTATGATCCAATTTTCTTGTGTTTTAAAGTCTGAAGGCATAGAAGTCTTAAGGCATTAGTTAACATTTAGGTGGACAATGAGATTTTGAATAATTTTTATTTTCTTCTCTTTGTTTCTCTGTAGTATATTCTCCAATTTAACTATACAAAATGATACCTAAGAGAATTATTTTCTTTTAAAAATACACTGCAATTATTAATTTGCTTTTTCTTGATGTATAACCACCAGGAAGAAGGAACAAATGTTGGTTGCTGTACAAACTGTGTGCTGCTCAGATTTACCTCTCCAGGCATGGCTGTTTCCACATGGGTGGATATAGAGAAGTCCAGTCTGATAGTCTGAGAACTGTTAATATCCAGCCACCCTATGCCCCGTCTTACAACCCATTAGAAACCTGTATCTTCAAGAAACTGTTTTCAGATACAAATCACTTGCAACCATGGTATCTCAAAAATAATGTTTGAAAGAAATGGTGAATTCAACATTGTACTGGAAGCTCCAGCCAGAGCAGCCAAGCATAAAAAGAAAAAAAAAAAAGGCATCTAAATTAGAAAGAAATAAAAGTATCTTTATTCACAGATGATATATCTGACATATGCAGCATCCTAAAGAAACCACAAAAATTTATTAAGGCTCTGAATAAATTCAACAAAGTCGCAGGATACAAGATCAACAGGGGTAGACACTCATGACCTTGGATTTGGCAATGGTTTCTTTTAGAGAGGACACCCATGAAAACACAAACAACAGAAAAACTGGAAAACTCACAAATATGTAGAAATTAAATAGTACAATTCTCATTAATCACTGTGTCATAGAAGAAATCAAAAAGGGAGTCAAAGAGTATCTTGACCCAAAGAAAACAAACACATCAGATGAAATTTATGGGATGGAAAAGAAATTCTAAGAGACAGTTTAGAGTGATAAATGCCTACAGTATGAAAAAAGATCTCGGGGCGGCGACTGGGCGACACAGTCGGTTAAGCGTCCAACTCTTGATCTCAGTTCAGGTCATGATCTCGAAGTTCATGAGTTTCAGGCCCCACATTGGGCTCTGCGTTGATGGTGCACAGCCTGCTTGGGATTCTATCTCTCTTTCTCTCTGACTCTCCCCCACTTGTGATCTCTCTCTCAAAATAAATGAACTTAAGAAAAAAAATTTTAAAGAAAAAGGATTTCAAATAAATAACCTAACTTTATAGTTTGCTCCTTAATGAGCATAGGGTTTCCTCTTAGGGTGATGAAAAGATCTTGAAACTAGACGGAAGTAACGGTTACATAACAATGTAAATGTACTAAATGCCTTAAAAAAGTTAATGGTTAATTTTATGTTATATGAATTATACTTTTTAAAATGAAAAAAAAAAAGGAGGGGAAGAGAAGTAGGGCATGGTCTTTAAACCTAAAATATTTTAGGGGTGCCTGGGTGGCTCTGTCAGTTAAGTGTGTGACTCTTGATCTCAGCTCAGGTCTTGATCTGAGAGTTCAAGCCCCATGTTGAGCTCCATGCTGTGTGTGAAGTCTACTTTAAAAACAAAAACCTAAAATATTACAAACATGTTTATTTTCTATTCAGAAAATACACAGATTTTAAACAGATTTAAAGCAGTTTCATCATTGCATATTTTAAAAATAAAGCTACTTTCCAAATACTTAAGAGTAATATTAATAGAATGCCCCATTTCTTACCAGAAGACTCTTTCCCATTCTGTTTTTCATAGAGGGTGCCCACAGACATCAGGAAAACAATAACCAGGAATACTGGAATTCTCCATGAGCCAGCCAGGGATGCTGAAAATTATTAAGAGTTAGCACATTTTTAGCACTTTAGCACTTGCCTTTAAAAGAGTTAGTAGACTGACAGAACAACTTGGCATAGAGGCCATTAACAAAATTGTTTCACAGGGAAATTTTTTTTAAAGGGCCTAAGACAGATTAAGCCTCCATTCAGGACTTCTCTCAACTAAATCCAGCTCCTAAAATGCAGTATGTGCCAACCTACCCTTAATGGGCTTGTATCACCTGAGGATTCAAGTCCATTCTAATGCACACCCAGGGTTTAAGACCATCCTGAACTCAAACCTTTCTTTAACCTCAAAATGACCTGCATCAGTTATAGAACCTGAAGTCGTGGAGCCTGACTTCGTTTCCGGAAAATATCACTGGGTGTGAACTCCATCTCTCAAGAGAAGGTGAAATGGCCCAGAACAGCACTGCAAAAAGCTTCAATGTATCCTCTGTTTAAAAGGCAAAAATGCTAACAAGTGGCTAAGGACCAGGTACCTACCCATAGGCATTTCCGTTTCCCTGAGTAAATTAGAGCCTTCTGGACTGCTGCCTCTTCCTCAGCCTTCCCTGAGTTCAAAATGAGTCACATCGGACATTAGGGGATCTTGCTCTGACATCTCTCCCTCATGGGTACAGAGATCTGTTTAAACCACTCTTTCACAGGATGGTCCTTCAAACATGCTTCCATATTTTATTTTCTCCTTCGCTCTGCTTTCTCCCCACTCGTGTAGCCCAGTCTCCTTCTCTTATCTGGAGTAACTACCTCTGGTTCCTGTAACTGTTTCTGACATACTTAACTGATTATCTATATCCTCCTGAAGTATGACCCTCAGAAATGGCCATGATACTCTAAAAGTGTGCTTTACTTTTTAAGATACATTTATTATTAAAGGACCTCTTGAAAATGAACATTCAATAGAATCAAAAGATAGATACATTAAAGCATGAAATTTTTATTAAAGATTAAAGAAAGATTAAAGCAGAACATTTTCCAAAGATTAAAGAAAGTTAAATGCAACATACAACACTATTAAAAATTCACTTCAAATCATGATCAGACTCTGCTGATCTTAAGCTAGACTTTCTTAGAAAAAGGGACCCACCTAAATGAAAAAGCAATATAATCCAGACAGGAATTGAAACTGCTCTCAAGTAGCGTTCAGTGCTTGCATTCCACTTGAAAGAGACAGCCAACACATAGCCAACTACCAGCGTCCAGATCTTAAATAGATGAAATAGACACAGTTGTAAATATATACACATGCAAATAAACATACATTCATATAAAATCTGCAAACATCTATACAGTATGAGAGCTGTGGATACAGAAAAGATGAAGGTGGTGGTGCTAAATGACATGTGTATAGGTTTTCCTCTTCTTTTTAGACATATCAAATTTTGAAATAAATAAGCATGTGAAATCCTGCACATATAGCTATATTACTTCAATAGTCTTGGGGCACTTGTCTAACTCAGTTGGTGGAGCATGTGACTCTATATCTCAGGGTTCCAAGTCTGGGCCCCACAGTGGGTGTAGAGATTACTTAAAAATAAAATCTTAGGGGCACGAGGTGGCTCCGTCGGTTAAGCATCCAACTCCAGCTCAGGTCATGATCTCACGGTTCATGAGTTCGAGTCCCACACCTAGCTCTCTGCTGTCAGCACGGAACCTGCTTCGGATCCTCTGCGCTCCACCCCCACCCCCGCCCCGCCCCACACACATACCACCTGTCCCTCCTCTGCTCCCATTCTCACTCTCTCAAAAATAAACATTTACAAAAAGAAAAAGAAAATCTTAAAAAGAAAAAAATCTTAACCAAAAAACACAAAGTTTTAAGGTACACTGAAGTTTGAAACTATTGTATGTGTAAAGATGCTTAAGATAAAATATTAAATTTTAAGCCATGGACTTAAATCGAGAGCTTAACTCATGGAATTCTTCAAATTTGCTCTATAGATGAAGATTTAGAAAAGAACAGCAACAAAAAAGAAAGCTTTCCCAAAACAATTATGTTAAAAGATTCCATCATGGCCTATAAAATGTTCGTTAACTGTGAAAAGATTTTTTTTTAAAGCTAGCAAGAAGGCAGCCAGCTGAACTGTGACCCCTGAAGTAATCTAGGTAACAGATGGCTACACCTAGTCCAGAGTTATGTGCACAGCTGGAGAAGTGTAGCTCAAGAAAAATATTACAAGAGGAAGAGACAGCAAGAGTTAAGAACAGAGGAACCGCCAGGGTCCCCTCGTTTTCCCCACACCGAAATTAAATGGCTCTAGAGCTTGGAAACACTAGCACAGCCTACACAGAAACTCTCCAGTAACATTTACACAAAAGCTGGAAGAAACACATAACCCAGAACAAAGTGAGCACCAAGAACCTATTAAAATATAACCTGAACCTGGTGGGGGTGGGAGAGGGGTAAGAAGACAAATTAAAACAAAAAAAAAAGAACTTTAAATTACAATTCAGAGAACGAAGAAAAAAACTGATATGATTACTACAAAAGACCGAAGGGGGTAAAAAACTATCTCCTACTTTATTTGGGTTGTATCACCAATAAAAATCGTCTTCTGGGGGTGCCTGGATGGCTCAGTTGGTCAAGCATCCCACTCTTGAACTCACCTCAGGTCATTATGTCATGATTCACGGGATCGAGCCTGGTGTCAGGCTCTGTACAGACAGTGCAGAGCCTGCTTGGGATTCTCTGTCTCCACCCCTCCCCTCTACTCTATAAATAAATAAAACCAAAAAAATAATAGTCTTCTGGTCCTAAAAATGCTTATAGCTTCTGACCTTAGACTTCAGCTTTAGAACCTTACTAAAAAATAATAAATTCTGAAAAAGTCTCTATAATATAAAGAAGCTTATCAGAGTAAATTTAGGATAGTGAAAAGTGGATAAACTAAAAGTTCAAGTGGAAAGTGAGTAACTACAGAGGATTCACTCAATAAAATGTTATGCAACCATTAAAATAGTTTAACAAAAACCAAAGAGTTAAAAACACTCAAGACATTCTTAAAGAAAAAGCAAAATATAAAAAACATATGACATGATTATAGCTACTGCATGGTGGGAGAAAGAGTAAATGTACCAAGAAGTTAGTAGTTGTATTTGGATGATAAGATTCTGGTTTTCCTTTACTTTTTTCTGTATTTTCCAAAGAGCCTTTAATGAGCACAAATTCTTTTATAATGAAAAGGATATTAAAATATTTTTCTTCAAGCAACTCTATTAGATGAAATATTCAAGAGATCTTAAGCTCCAGATACATAAGCATAATGGGAAGTGAGACCACAGCCGCTTCAAAACATTTCAAGCTTGCAGAACCACACCAATTTAACCTAGGAATTCAGAGAATTTGAAGTAGGGCTGTAGAGCTCAGAACAAAAGTGGAGTATAATAACAGTATGCTTACATAGCAAATTGTTAAAATAAAAAATGATCCTCAGCAAACAGTCTTCAATGCGTATGCCACACGGTGGTAATTAGCCCCACCCCATGAAACATTAAGTCAGGCAAGAGACTAAAAGCATATTAATTGAATTCACAGATTACACAAGATTGAGAACAGTCAATAAAAACTGAGATGACCATAATGATTCAACAAGATATTCTGAAGTTAGAACAATGGCTAATTCAAAGAAGACTGAATGTTATAGAAAGATACAAAAATCTGCTCTTAGATTCAAAACTCACCTAAGTACTAATGGGAAGAGGATGGCTAAGCTACTTTCCAGTTCAGAGTGAGTCAGGAGTATAAATGGTGTGAGTGCCTATTCATAATGCTCCTATCAAGAAAAATGATTGCTTCAAGGACTTCTGCACTATCAAAACCACAGCCATAAAAATTCAGACTGGGAAAGGAAACAGAAACCACCACATAAGAGATACAAATTATAGCTGGTGGGGAGGGGGGGACTGCTCCATTTAGGATTAAAAAAAGAAAATACGAAGATTTGATAGCTGTCTTCAAATAGCTGAGAAAATGCCATCTGGGAGAGGCACTCGCCTTAATCCCCTGTGGTCCTGCAAGCAGAAAACAATAGGTGGGAATTAGGAAACAACCCATTTCAGCTCAATATAAGGAGAAAATTTTCCAACAAACTACAGCTGCCTACAAATGGAGTATTTTGTTTGAGCAAAAGCTGAGCATAATGGCAAAGCACAAGAGCTGCTCTCAGTGAGAAGCTGACCCCAAGGATGATAGCAGATATTACCCTGAGTTTAGGCCGAGGATGGTTTTTAAACTGATTTCTAGTAAGTTTCTGTTTCTTACCTGTACTCATAAGGAATCAGTATCACCTACAGGGAGACAAAAGAGACTGCATATTTCAGAAGGAAACTCATGGTCTAAAGAGAGCACATGTTTTCAGCTAGTAAACCTGAAACCCACTGACAGCCTTATTTCAGTTTGAAATAGCCACTTATTAAATACACTCCCCAATTCTACTCCTAGGAACTTGGTTTACAGAAGTTCCTAGTTTGGTTTATAGAAGTTCCATATACCATACAGACAGATCTGAAAATGTTCACTGCGGCTGCAAAAAAATATTTAAAAAACAATGTAAATGTCATTTTATAATGGTACCTCCAGAAAGTGGAACAATTTTACAGACGTTCAGAGGTGTGATTAATATCTACATTCAATGACACAGTATAAATGCACACATGTGTAAATCTATAACAGTGAAAATATACTCAGTCCAAATATTTAAAAATAGTATCTCTAGATAGTTGGATTTCAGGAGGTAATTTGCTTCTTTCTGCTTTTCTTCAACTGTTGAATTTTCTAAAAGTACTTTCATCTTTATAAACAGCATATGTTTTTTGGGTTGTTGTCTTTTTTAAGATTTTTTTTTAAGTCCATTTATTTATTTTGAGAGAGAGAGTAGAGAGAGAGTATAAGCAGGAGAGATCCAGAGAGAGAAGGAGAGAGAGAGAATCCCAAACAGGCTCTACACTGACAGTGCAGAGCTCGATCCCACAAACCGTTCATTGAGATCATGACCTGAGCTGAAATCAAGAGTCAGACACTTAACTGATTGATTGAGCCACCCAGGCACCCCACAAATGTTTTTAACTTAAAAAACCTCTTTTGGCCTATGGATTTTTCCCCCCAATATTCTGAAGCGTCTCCTCAGAAAAGATTCACAGGATATTATTAAATGCTCAAAAAATATGACCATTTATGAACACTTTGGATTTCTTGTTAAACTGTTAGGATTATATAAATTACCAATGTTTAAAAAATGTTTATCATATTATCCTAACACAAGTTCAGAGCTACAATAATCTGATAGGAAAACTTTCCAAAAGGCATCTAGAAAAAAAATTTTTACACTATAGTAGTATTAAAAAGAAAAAGCTATATCTAGAAGTGCTAACAAGAAAAGATGTCTACAATATAAAGATAAAAGAGAAAGCAAGGTGCAAAATTTTATATAGATGATACCCCATTTTTGTTTAAAAAAACACCCCATACTTTATATGTTCATATAAGCATACAAATAAATTTAGGTTATTTATCAGTTAACAATGGTAACATCTTACCCAGTGAGAATGGTGGCAGAGAAAAGAAATGATTCACTTTACCATATAGACTTCTATGCTGCTTAAATTGTTTTTTATATAACGTTTTACTTGAATCAATTTTGAAATTGCTAAATATTCTTTAAAACAAATTTACCAAAAATAAGGATTTTGTACTTTTAAATTTCATACATAATTTCTAGTATGGATTCCTAAAAGTCTATAAGAGTTATTTCTGTCTCTATATTTAGCCTCTGAGCAATCCTGTTCGAGTATGAATTTTCTTCCAGCTATGGAAGCCATCAATGAACCACAGTTTATATATAAGAGGGCATACTTTCTCAAATTGTGTTCTTTAAAACCATCTATCTTTTTCAAAATACAGATTTAACACTCACTTTAAAGCACCAATGTATGCTCAATGCCATATAAGGTGCCCCATAAAAACTGGCAACATCCATTTAGCTCTTCAAGCAAACTAATAAGCACATTTTCCTTTCATCTGGCTTAATAACCACATACGCTTTTCTGATAAATAGAATACTAAGTGCATAAAACATAAGCAGACTTTGTCTTTTAGACAGTTTTATTTATTGCTGTGTGGGCATTAACCGGAAAAACAACTGGGCTTGCTTCTGTCGTACGTTTTTGCAAAGTTTCCTAAGTCTTTCACAGAGAGAATAGCTTCCCAGCCTCAGCCTCTGACGTACAATCCCAATTGCACAAACGTACAAATCTCAGTGATTGCTTCAGCTACTTCATACTCCTTTAAAACAGCTTTATCCTAATTTGAAAGCTATTCTCTTTTTAGAGTCAAGAATCTTTTACAATCAGCATCTTTGAGAAAGAAGCTAAGCACTGGAAACTTTCCTCCTTACTGACACCCAACAAGTAAAAGCACACCTAGACAAGGGTTCTGAGTGGAATGGAGTGGGCCCGGCTGGCTGGCTAACGTGCACTTCCTAAGAGCCTCTCGGGCAGTACCGCCAAACACTTGGGAACCGTGCAGGGAAGCTTAGAAATCATCCACGCCAACCCCACCCCTCACACAGCTGGAGGTGAGTAGCCCACAGAAGAGCCCTGGTCTGTCCAAGGTCACAAAACAAACTGTTGACAGAGCTCGGTTTAGAATTTACAGTCTTGGGGGGCACTTGGGTGGCTCAGTTGGTTAAGCGTCCAACTTCGGCTCAGGTCATGATCTCACAGTTCATGGGTTCAAGCCCCGTGTCGGGCTCTGTGCTGACAGCTAGCTCAGAGCCTGGAGCCTGCTTCACATTCTGTGTCTCCGTCCCTCTCTGATCCTCCCCTGCTCACGCTGGCTCTCTCTCTCTCTCTCTCTCTCTCAGAAATAAATAAAAAACATTAAAAAAAAAAAAAAGAATTTAGTCTTGGGGCACCTAGCTGGCTCGGTCAGAAGAGCATGCGACTCTTGATCTCAGGGTCATGAGTCTGAGCCCCACACTGGGGAGATTACTTACAAAGCTATGAGATTACTTACCAAAGAAATTTTAAATAAGTCGAGTTTACAGGCTTCTCACCTTCCGCCACTATTGTTTCTACCTCATACTTCCTCATAATGTAAAATGGAAACAGTGGGATCAGAGACCGTGAAGAAATCAAATCTACTACTACTATACAAAAACTGTAAAGGCTCTCCAAGTCTTCTAACATGTATGGACTAAGTAAGAGGGCAAGGAAGATCAAAACACTCCCAGCAAAGAAAAGGGGGTGGAGAGGGCTGGGCATGAGCTTTTCAGTTTTATCTTGATAACTCTACAACGTGGGAAGACGCTAAGGGCCCCAAGGACTATGTCACAGGTGAGGGCAGTGCAACAGATGATTCACTTCTGAAGTTCATACAAAATTCTAATATATTTCAAATTGTTTAAAAGAATTATTCATACTGTACATGCTTGCTCTTTCACTTGCAAGTGGGATAGGGTGTTAGGAGACTGAAGAAACCCAAAAGTGAGGTGAAGAGGAACAGAACTAGAAAGATAAACTGGCAATAAAGCAAAACACAGGCACTGAAGTCGCTATAGAGGAAAACCGGACAGGACTTGGAAATAGCTGAACAGATACAAACAAGGTTTCTGGATGACCAGAATCCAAGGGTCTTTGGGGGAACGTGTGTGGTTAGTCCTGTCCTGACAGTCTTCTACATTTTCCCCCAAATAACTAAAGTCAGTTTCTATTCTAAAAAGTTAAACTAAAACATTTAAACACAACACAGTAGGGGGAAACTTTCAAAAACTCTTATCGAAGGTTACTCAGAGTTTTGCTGACAAAAGGATTTTGCTGATCGGGGTTTTGAATGAACCATGTACTGACAGAATGAACAGATCAATCTCTAAACCAGTCTTTACACGAGTGAAATCCTTCTCTCATCCTTCACAGGACAATTGTGAGTAGAAATTAACATCCATGAAAGCACCTGATCCAGTGCCTGGCACATGATAGTTGCTCAAAAGTTGGATCTTAAATGTATGAAATGTCAGCTCCCCAAAATGTAGATTTGCTTAAATGTAACTTTTCTCCCTGCCTTTCCCATCTATGTCTCTCTTCAGCAGCAAGTTCAAATTTACAAGTTGTCTAGAAAGTATGGACTCTTTCTCCATACCAGGTGGCTGTGCTTGGGCTCATACAAGCACAGCGACTGTGAACTCTTGATTGAGACAGAAAGTTACAAAACGGGCCCCTTTCCCAGTCACATATCATTCCTTCCCTTCATGACAGGCCTTAATCAACCCTTTTGGCAGAGAGCTGAGGACTCCCTGTCTCTGCTTCCCAAGTACACCTCTCCCCCACCCCTAAGGGCTGTGGCAAGAAACCACAACTGCAAGCCTTGTTTCTCTCAAATTCAGACCAACTTAGGGGACCTACTCGTTCAACTTAAGCCCCTCTACGACTCCTATGCACTTCTAGTCAACTCATACTCTCCTTTACAATAGTTCCGTTTTTCTCCACTCCTCTTCTCCTGTGTCCCCATCACTGTAGCCAAAGAGCTGTTGCAAGCCTTTTCAAAATCACTAACTGGGGATGCCTGGGTGGCTCAGTTGGTTAAGCATCCAATTCTTGATTTTGGCTCAGATCTTGCTCTCATGGCTCATGAGACAGAGCCCCAGGGTCGGGCTCTGGGCTGACAGCACAGAGCCTGCTTAGGATTCTCTCTCCTTTTCTATCTGCTCCTCTCCCTGCACTCACTCCTTCCCTTGCATGCTCTCTCTCTCAAAATAAACAACAATCATTAATTGGGTAGACATTCCTCCCGCCTTCTAGCCAAATTAACATTGGTTCCTCTCTTTCGCTCATCTGCAACTCATACAAGGGTATTCAAGTAAAATACAAAAATGAGGGTTTCTCCTCTGTAAAAAGATATTCAATACTACATACATTCAGCCACAGGCACTTCTTCACTGGTACTCAATTCCTCATCTCTTTTCACTGATAGTAACTGGCAGAAATGCCCCATTTCCCACTAATCTTGCTAATTTACCCATGTTTTCAACTTCTTAACTATAGTATGATATTACACTATTCATACATTAGATCTCTTATTCCCCAGCTTCCTATAGTTTGGTGGATATGCTGTTTGGTCTTGCCGACAATAATTTACACTAAATTGCAGTATCGACAGTCAAAATGTCAGCAGAAACTGTACCTGCGTCTGCCTTTGACAAGGCTGAATTTCTTGACGACAGGAATCAAGTCACGATATATTATTTTTTTAATGTTTATTTATTTTTGAGAGAGACAGACAGTGCAAGCAGAGAAGGGGGCAAAGAGAGAGGGAGACACAGAATCTGAAGCAGGCTCCAGGCTCTGAGCTGTCAGCACAAAGCCTGATGTGGGGCTCGAGCTCACAAACTGTGAGATCATGACCCGAGCCGAAGTCGGATGCTTAACTGACTGAACCACCCAGGTGCCCTGGTATTTATATTTCTTAACAGCATATAGTATTCTGCCTCATATGAGGCAGTTAACTGAACTGTGAAATAAAGCAAAGGAGAAATAGCACTGAAGATCTAAATAACAGGGTAAAGGAGATGAAGCATATTCTGGATTTCTTCACAAGCTATGTGGCTTTGGGACAGTCACATTCTCTGTGCTTCAGAAGCCTCTCCTGAAAAGTGGCGGGCATCTGGAAGTAAAAAGATAAACTCCAGGATCACTCCCACCTGACAATCCAGCAAGCCTCAGGAGTTCAAAGGTCATTCCACATCCCTCCTTCCAACAAGTGAAATAGTCCAGGCCACTTGGAGGCCAAGGTGGTCTGATTACTTAGCAGCTCTACACACAGACAGCATCCCAAAATTATGAAGTGCTCCCCAATTCCTTGCTGGCCCATAATGGGTTGGTAATGCTGTGTCTGCCATTTCTATGAGAACATGTTCACATGATTACATGACCTTGAAGACAAACCCTGCATCCTACTTGTTTTAAACCCCTACAAACCCTAGCACCCATCAACATGTCTAATCACCTTTTAATGGAAACTGAGAGGTGGTAGTGATGGAGCAAGAGAACACAGGAGTTCTGGAATCAATTATCACTCTACCAAGAACCTTAGCAGGTCAAAACCTTGTTTCACACGTAAGGTGAATCATTCTGCAACTTGATGTCAAGGTGCACTGAACACTGACAAAAGAGAATAAAATTATTTTTAAATGGTGCCGTTTACTGACGAATTAGCATTCTCATGCATTAAGTATTCACCTGTTTTTAACAGCCCTCAGTTAAATAGCTGGGGATTAACTGGTCCAGAATCTAGTCTGAGTTAGGAAATGCACCACTCGATTATCTTTGAAATCCCTTCCAATTCTAAAGTTTCCTAATTTTCTAAGAAGAGCTCAGCGTGATCCAAGAAACAAATCTACCTCTCCCTCACCCACTCTGCTTAAGTAGTCCAGGCGGGAGGCAAGGTACTCGGGTACAGCAACCCCTCCACAAGTGGTTCCCAAGAAGTCAAGTGTGGCGGGGAGCATGCCCAGGTGCCTCACACAAAGTATACTTGAGTGCACTTGAACTCAGAAGCAGCAACGGCCTTTGAAGAAAGCTCTTCTTAGGATTTGAGAAACTTGAGTCAATCCGTCCCTTCTTTGTCCCTAACTAGCCCTAGCCCGGTAGTAGTCAGTCACCTCTCTCATGTGCAGGATGACACGCTGGACTAGGATCTCTAAGGTCTCTTACAGCTGATATCCAGAAAAGTCTCCCGTGAGTTCTAAAGTTGGTCGGAACCGCCCCCTCACTCTGACCAGGGGTAAATTCAAGTCTACCTGTCAATGCTCAAGTCAACCGGCAAAGCGGAACTGCGATTGCGATTCCCAAACTGGGGACCTACGAGGATCTATTAACATGGGGGCGGGGAGAGGAGGCTGTTTCAAACCACACCCGTCCTCTCTTTGGAAGGAAGTGGGCCACGTTCCTTAGGTGCACTGGAAGGAAGGCGGAGACTTCTGACGGCCCCTGCACTGTGAGGAGGCGCTGCCGGACGGCACCCCCGGTCACAGGGGGTGTGCTGAGGGGCGCCGCGTGCCCGCCGGGCCCACGGACCGTGCCCGGGGGCCGCTCACTCACCCACAGGCTGCTGAAGTAGTCCAGCCCGCGGCAGATGAGCGCGCCGGCGTGCGCCAGCAGCACCTGCACGCCCAGGTAGCTGCCGAGGCTGTAGAGGCCGTAGAGGAGCGGGCCGCCGGCGCCCAGCAGCAGCAGCAGGCGGCGGCGGCGCAGCGCCTGCGCGCCCAAGGCCTCGACGCCGTAGTCGGCGAAGCAGAGCGGCAGGAGCAGCGCAGCCAGCACGATGGGCGTGTGCGCGCGGTGCAGGCGCTGCAGCCAGTGGCGGCCCAGGCGCGTCAGCGAGCTCTTGAAGGGGTGCAGGAAGGTGCCGCACAGCACGGCCCACAGCAGCGGCCGCAGGAAGGCCTCCAAGATGAAGTAGACGAGCACGGCGGCGCCGCAGCACAGGCACACGAACAGCACGGCCCCCGTGTTGTAGAAGGCCTGCTTGATAGGCTTGTCAAAGCGCAGCGCCAGCGCCGGCGTCCTGGGGGTCTCCCCGCAGCAGGCGCCGCTTCCCTGCCCGACCACGCGCGGGATCCGCGGCGCCCGGCCCGGGGAGCCCCGTGGGCTGGGCGCCTCGGCAGGGCCGCCGCCGTCGGCCATGGTGCCTCTGCTGCCGCCTCCAAGAGTCGGTACTGGAAGGCCAAGTGAGAGTCGCGGAAAAGAGGCTAGGCGCTCTGCGCGCAGCATTGTGGGTGTTGTAGTTCCTAACTGGCCGCTGAGCGCCTACGGGCCCCCTGGGGAACTACAATTCCCAGGGACTACGGAGAGTGTTCTTTCGGCCCCAGTTTCCTTCGCCCATTGGTCCCTGAAGATGCAGGTTACAGGTTTCTGGGATCATCATCTGCAAAGGGGGGGAGGGGGGGGAGTCCCTTCACCCATTGGTTAAAGTTAACTTTTCAACGGGTTGAATTCCAAAAGAGGCACTACATTCACAAATTGAAAATCCAGGCTGTACATTAGAATCCCGGGGCGTGGGAGCACTTACGCAAGAGGATCCCCACATTCAATTTTACTGATTGAAGAAGCAAAGTGTTTGCTCTGGTGTAGGACTTTAGATAGCAATTACCAGGGGCACCCGGATGGCTCAGTTCCTTAAGCATCTGAGTCCATTTCGGCTCAGGTCATGATCTCCGTGGAGTGATCGAGCCCGCATCAGGTTCTGGGTCAAGCTTTGCGCTGATGGCTCAGGGCCTACTTTAGATTCTTTCTCTTTCTCTGTCCCTCCCCTGCTGGAGCACGTGCGCTCTCTCGCTCTCTCTCTCTTTAAAAATAAACATTAAAAGAAAAATCAATTACCCTATGTCAGACCCAGTTCTAAGTGCCTCATTCATTGAATCCTTTATAAAAAGAAAAACTGAGGCACAGAGAAGTACCTTGCCAAGGTCACACAGCTACTAAGTAGCAAAGCTGTAATTCAAACTCGAGTCTGGCTCCTAAGTCTATTGTTTTACCTACTCTGCTAACTGGTCTGACAAATGATCTTTGGCATGTTTTTTAAAGCTCCTCAGTGGACTGTAATATACAGCTACTGTTGTCATTGGAGTAGGTGTCAGTGAGCAAGCAATCTAAATTCCTAAAAGAGCCCTAGACCAGAGTCACAAACTAACACTGTTTCTTTTTGAGAATTGGGGTCAGGTCGCTTGAGCCCCCAACCCCAATTTCCCTTCTGTCACATGCAAATGATCATAACAGAAGGAAGCTCTTGTCTCAGGAGAGAAAAAGAGGAAGCTCTAGGGCAGTGCAAGGTACTTCTGTTATTATGTTGGAAAGATCCTGGATCCAAGCCTACTAACACCCTAAACAACACCTAAGAACAGCATTTTTATTTAAAAAAAAAAAAAAAAAAAAAAGATGAAAGAAGGGAGGAAGGAAGGAAAAAGAAAAAGAAAACAAGAGAGAGCAGGCAGGCTTTACTGAGTACCCAATGTGTGACTGCTTTGAAACCCTTTTTCTGCTTTCAATAAGTTAATATGCTTTCATATTAATTTAAACATAATTTGTTTCTCTTCTAAAGTAAACAGGGCAAGTGTCATTATCCACAGGTTTCAGATGAAGAAATTGTTGCTTTCTAAGACTTGGAGAAAAGAGGATTCAGAAAATAAAGTAAAAGAATAAAACAATTCCTTTCCATCTCGTTTGTTTGTTTTTTTTTTTTTTCAGGTTTCAGGTCACAGCTCTTGTTTTTGGACTTTGACTCTGTAAATATATTGCTTCAGTGGTCTTACATTTTGCTTTGCTTCTTTGTCTACAGCTGCTGAGACTATGATTGCAATCATGATCACATTTCCTTTCAGTGCTCATTTTACATTGACCCCAAGCTCCTATTTATATTGCAATAAAGCCTTATCCTCCCTCCCAGAAAGTGCTCAGTAATGAGTAGCGAATCCCAAAGAGGGTGCCTTACATATACCCAGAGACATGAGTCAACCACCAACCACCCTGTTGCCCGCACAGCTCCCTGACTCCAGTTCCTGTCATAGAATTGCCAATGCCTATGTCACTATCCCAGATCCTGGATACTCCCAAACTTCTAATCCTCAGAGTGCCAAAGAGCCGGGTTCCACTCAGAGATGGGGAGGAAGTCCCTCTCCCTGACTTGTCTACCCTGTGCCTTTCTGTGACCCAAACCCTAAACCAGGTCACTTGTGCTTAGTGTATTGTATCTCTTCTCATGAAGACTTCCTTCCATGTCCGGCCTTCTGTCCTCTAGCCACAGGGGCTCAGAACCTACCCAAAAGGTTCAGTGAGGTAACAAAGACCAAGCATCCCCTGTCCTCCTCCAACCAAAGACTCAGCTCTCTTGCTCTGGTTACAACACCAACACCACCACCACCACCAACAAAACAACCCTCCATTTTACAGAAGGAAGGTGGCCTAAACTGTTTGGGGCCCCAGCTCAGCAAATCAAAAATCAAAAATCCCCTGTCATAGTGTTCTGCTTCCAAGTCTCAGCAAAAGGCAAAAATGCTGACTATTTCAAAACTGTTCTAATTGCCAAAACAATAGAACTGACAAGTCTCCAATAGAATTTCTCATCAAGAATGGAATTCTGACAGAAATGACGCTGAAGCACTGGAAACAAACTAGACTCACATTTATATGGTCTAACGTAAGGCTGGGTTCCCACAGAATTTTGCTCACCATGCTGACTGCACTTACCACACTATGGTCAAAGTCAGTGGTTTACATGGGTTTGCTTCATCTCTGTGTCCCCAGCACCAGACACAGCATATGACATTCATAGTACAGAGCAGAAGGCCAGGGTTTGCTGAGCAAGTGCATGAATGAGCGGGAGCCTTTCAAAAAGCCTATTTGTGCTTCCTCCAAGAAATGCTACTTACACTGAGAATGTTTCTGCTCGGTATTCTTGTGGTTGAGAGCAGAGGCAAATTAAAATCCTGAGATGTAGGACCCACAAACTAAATTTGAAAAGGGTAAACACAGTCCACTCAATCCTGTAGCTCACAGGACGTATGCTTTTAGGCCTCTCCTCCAAATCACAAGGCTACTTGACTTGTCTTTGTTGGCCTCACTCCAACCACCTCAAGCAAGAACAGCCTCCATGGACATCCAGGATACAGTGGAGGTAAAATGGACTCGGGAGAGGATCGAGCTGCCCCCAAGACCACACTGCCTTTGGCCTTCCTGTTGCAGAACCCGTCAATTCCCTAATCATTTAAGCCAGTTTTAGTTGGGTTTCACATTTCTAGCAACAGAAAGCTTTCTGGTAGATAAAATAATACCTGCAATGTAACACCTACATTGGTTGCTTTGAGGATTTTCCAAATAAGAGTGTGTCTAAAGCAGCAGAATAGTGCTTGGGATATGGTGAGAACCTGATAGTGGCCCTCAGGGTGACTCAGTGGCTCTCTTGAAGCCAAACAAGTAGCTCTTAAGCAACAATTAATGTTCACAGACTCCCCCCCTCCTCCAAGGTATCAACATAAAAGCCCCAGAGATAAAGCAAACACAGGCTGGAGAGGATTGCCCAGGGTATTGTGTCTTAAAGTTCTCGAAGTGTCTCTACAAACATTTGCTGAATTGTGCTGAGCACCTGCTTTGTACCAGATCCAGTGCTTACAATGGAGTGTGTATGAACGAACAAAGGCAACAAAAGAGACAAACCAATAGACTCTAGCTGCAGAGAACAGATGGCTCCCACGGGGTAGTGGGTGGGGGGATAAGGGAAATAGGTGAAGGGGATTAAGAGTACACTTATCTGGATGAGCACTGAGTAATACAGAGAATTGTTGAATCACGATATGCTACACCTGAAACCAATTTAACACTGATTGTTAACTCTACTGGAATTAAAATAAAAAATAAACAAAACAAAAAACCATACAGTGTTTATGTCATGTATCAAGGGGTATGTATGCACAGTGGAGGAGAGATCATGTGAAAAAGAAATCAAACAGGCATGCATTCAAATTCCCAACAGGAATTACCTATTTTCTTTGCTAACTACAAGGCAGACATTGCTAATCAGCCACTGATCTTTCTCCCTGAGCCTAGACATAGCCTCAAAATCCTTGGGGCACCTGGCTGACTCAGTCGGTTGAGCATCTGACGTCGGCTCAGGGCATGAGCTCTTGGTTCACAAGTTCGAGCCTCACATCCGGCTCTACTGTCGGCCCACAGCCTACTTTGGATCATCTGTTCCCCTCTCTCTGTCTTGTGCTCTTTCTCAAAAGTAAATAAACATTAAAAATATATATATTTAAAAAATACTCAGCAGAACATTGTAGGGAACCACTATCAACTAAACAAAGTAGGCACAAAAGAAGAAATTCACTTGCCTTCCCTCCCATGCATGTCTGACATTAGATAAAACTGGGAGCTAAAACAGTAGGTAACTGGTTTAGGAAGCTTAGGAGGGAGGCGCCTGAGTGGCTCAGCCAGTTAAGCACCTAACTTCAGCTCAGGTCATGATGCCCCTGTTCAGTTTGTGAGTCTGAGCCTCACAGGGGGCTCTTGGCCTGTTTCAGATCCTCTGTCCCCCTCTCTTCCTGCCCCTCCCCTGCTTGTGTGTCTGCTCTCTCTCAAACATAAAATAAGCATTGTTTAGGAAGTTAATTAGTGCATATGTGAGAAATTACTAAGAGATTTAAAAAAAAATCTCAGTGGCTGAAGGACAAATATTGCAAACAAGTCCGATACCATCCCTAACTACTCCCCCCACCCTGCCACTTCCCTTTCCTCTTCCCAAGCTGGGACACATGACCCCACTTACTGCATGGGTCCTGCCAGTACACTGAGTAAAGTGTAGCTTTTTCTGCCTCCAGGCTCCCATCCTTCTGGTCTGTGCCATCCAGCTTCAGCCAACCTTCCATGCCATGTCAACAAAGACAATCTTACTAGTTAAAGAAAGAATTAGTGAAGTGAGGCCCATCTACCTAGGAGATAGCCAGGTGAATAAGAAGCGTGGGCGGTTCCTTTGGGAAACAACCCCCTGCCAACACACACACACACACACACACACACACACACACTGTAAAAAAATTTTTTTAAGTCTGCAACCAAGATAGCTCCCATTTAACACTTCTAGGGTGGGAGGAAGGTTGGTTGGGAAGATGGGCGAATTCTGTGCTGAAAGCCAGAGTGCCTATCC